TGTCTCCCTTCATGATTTCGCTTTTGGCTGCTGCTGACGCCTTGTCTCCCAAGTTTGTCTCCCTTCATGGTTTCGCTTTTGGCTGCCGCTGCCGCCTTGTCTCCCAAGTTTGTCTCCCTTCATGATTTCGCTCTTGTACCGCTGCCGCCTTGTCTCCCTTTCTTGTCTCTCTTCGTGATTTCGCTTTTGGCTGGGAGCCTTCTGCTTTGCGCAAGCGATCCGTACTTTCCAACTGCGAACTACGCAGGGCTGGAAAAGATTTGCTCATGGTGTCTAACTTTTCTTGAAATGCTATCATGGGGTCTATGCCGGTATAATTCCTTTTTTCCGGAGTGCGTGGCGACGGTTTTTCGTTGGGGGGCTGGGCGTTGACTCTTGTTCGCGAGTCGTTGTCGTTGCGACCGCAACTGTTCGCAAGTGACCGCAACCGTTTGCGGTAGGTCGCTATGGCGCTGACAGTCCTTAATGTGGGGAAGCTTTAGGAGAAGGTTTGAGCTGGAAGCACGACGTTTCAGATTCTGGTGTGTTTGGGGTGTTGGATATCGCTGTGACAGTGGGATATAATTTTTGCGTTTCAGGCCATTGTTGCGAAGCTATGTTTTCGTGACACGTGTCAGCTCAAACGGCAATTTTGGTGGATGTGAGTCTGAGAAGGTGTCGATATCAATCCAAGCGTGTGATGTGGTGCAAATTTTGCTGAAGACATGAAGATGTCAGGTCGTCACATGTCGTGGCAGGCACTATACTTTGCGTGTGTTTGAGGCGTCGAAGTTGAATTTGTGTGGCAGGCGCAGGGAATCGTGGGCTTGTGACGTTTGGTGGAGGTGAATGCCGCTGTGACGGTGGGATTGGTGTGTCAGCGGGTGTGGTTTTGAGGGGCTGGGATTGCGAACCTGCTTGGCAGGGCTGCTTGATCTGTTCGCTCTGATGATACTTCCCGCTTCACTTTTGAGGGAAGTCTCGTGCGAAGCGCTCGTTTTGGTGACCTTTGGAGGATGTCTTGTACGGAAAGCTCATTTTTGGACTTGACGTGTGACCTTTGGACGAAGTCTCGTACGGAACGCTTGTTTTGGAGACTCGACATGTGACTTGTAGGACACTCTTGCAGGGCCTTCTGCGTTTCATACGAGACTTCCTCCCAAACACTAACGCAGCAGTCTCCGAAACAGGCGTTTCGTATGAGACCTCCTCCAAAAGGCACATGTCAAGTCTCCAAGAGTTTTCCACAATGGCGTCTTACAAGAGCGTCCCACAAGTGTCCCACAAGAGAGTGTTCTACAAGAGTGTCCTACAAGAGTGTTCCACAAGAGTGTCCCACAAGAGTGCCCGCCATGAGTGTTCCACAAGAGTGTCGCACAAGAGTGTCCCACAAGAGTGTCCCACCAGAGTGTTTCACAAGAGTGTCTCTTTCATACCAAAGCGCCCCACACGAGCACCGCCTACAAGAGTGTCTTATACAAGAGTTTCAAACAATGTTTGGCCGCTTGTTGTTCGGGTTCCTCGGTTCCATCTTGCTACTTTAGCCTTTCATGTTTCTTCTTTTTCCTTTGGACGGGGTAGCGTTCTTCGTTAGACCTCAATTGTTCCTGTCCTTTCCTTCTTTTCTTTGGGTCTTGTTTGTGTTGCATTATTTCGAGGCCCTTCTTGCCTGATAGACTGCCAAAATATTCTTGTCATTGACGGGCCTGCTTCTTTCATCATTTATGTAGTATGTAATTATGTAGTATGTATCCCACAATTCCTCGGGCTTCATGCTAAAACACAAGGCTTAGGGTCTCGATTCCGTCTTGATGCGTGAAAAAAACTGTTCCACGTCCTATCGATCGATCTGGTCTCCGAACAAGAATTCCTCTTGTCTCCTCCCGACAGTTTCACAGGTCTCGTCACCCAACAGGACCACATATCTATTCACTTACAGTAGACTGAGATGACACCTTCAGGTATTGGAACTGGATGCCATACTGCACTACACGTTGACCCCTTCTGACGTGCATGTGATGTGTGTGTTGGGTGCAGGCACACCCCCTGACAAATACATGTTATGTATAAAGTTACACAAGAAAACACACCCTCAAACTGGCCGGCTCGTTCCCACCTTCACGGTTCTCCACTTCTTTTTCTGGATTGGCAAACGAGCATCAGGGGCTGCCTCCTGGCATCGGCGCAGGTGCCGACCGGTGGGGCAGCCATCGGTGTCCTTCCGCTTCCGACGTCGTTCCAATGCAACTTTGGCATCTCTGGATTCGCGGCCTGCGCCTCGGGTGATGAATCTCAAAGGATGAACTTCATGCAACACTTCAAGCCCATAACCGACCATCACTATGCAAAGAAAAAAACATATCTTATACTTTGTAAGGATTTCCTTGGACTTGCCCAGTAAACTGAATGGCTACCTGGAACCTCAGTGCTAAATTGAGGCCCAAAACATCCCAAAACCATAACTACAGTATGTGGAGCAAACCCGCAACATCTGCTACAATCTGCAAACTGTGCATGCCCACGCAGCGGGATTCTGTGTTCGTTTGTCCCAGAATCCAAAGGCTCAAGTCATTCCAATTAAACCATCAGCCACCCTCCTTTCCATCATCTCATCCCACCTTCACAGGCGGAAATGGCCTGGGATTTTGTGGCACAGGCGTGCGTGGAGGTCCTGAACATACTCGCTAAGTACAGTAGTGCTTTGGCAGGTCTATGTCCTGTGACCTTCCAAGAGGGATAACTGGTGACCAAAAGCCAAAGTATCACTCAAGTTTCGGGAAGATGAGAAGGGAAAAGAACGCATGTATACCCACCTGACCATCTCCAGGTCATGCTCAGTATGCTTACTTCGTCGAATGAAATACAGGTTGAATGCTTCAGAAGGGAATTCCTTGTTGCTTACGTAGCTAAGCATACAAACTGAGCCTGCTGGAGGAGGATGCATCCCTCCCTTGTCCTACCCCCAACCTTCCAAGTTCGTCTCAAGATTCTCTATTATCACCAAATCAACACCAAACTAGAGTAACCCATAAACCCCCCACATGGATTTCGGAGGCCATCTCAACCATCAATCTCAACCGCACCCTCTGTCTACCTGGTCCTCAAAACCGTCACACCCTCCCCCAATCGCCCAGTCACCGTTGGCGGAGGGTGGTAGCGTCCACCCTGGGAGCCTCCAGCCCAACAGGGGTGGAGCCGAGCTTGTGCCAACCGAAGATGCTCCGCTCCTCTCTTCAAAACAGTTGAAACTGTAGGCGGATAAAAATCGACAAAAAAGATAGGAGAAACTCCAGTTTTGCACCTCATGGCTGTTCTGTGATGCTCTTACGAATGCTAGCATCATGTCTATGGTCAACTCCCGCGATTGAAGGCCGGAGCTCATTATTTTGATGGTTCACTGCCCTTGCTGGCGAATTCGGGGCTCTGCCACTGGCTAAGCTTTTTGCAGCGACCGCCGTTCGGCGCCTTTCTTCGGTGAAAACCGAAGTGTCGTGTTGGAAATGCATGTTTGAATACACATAGAAGACTGGACTGGACAGCACGATCCACTTAAACTGTGCATGAATTCCAATCTCTTCAGCAGCCTGCAAACAAAATATGAATTAAACATATCATCTGGCTTCTATCTTTCTTCCCCAGCAACCCCAACAGAGCCCTTTGACTTGTCAGTTTTCCACATATGCCTCGCTCTCCACAAGCAACCAGCCGCCTTCAAAGTCGTCCAGGAGCACAAGTGCCCAACGCCAGGCACGTCCCTTGCGGCAGCTGCTCAAAGCCTTTCGAAGGCCTCGACATGACAGGGACAAAAATGGCAGAGCTTTCATGTCTAAATTTGTAATTATAAGTGTGTCGAAATGCCTTTCACAGGCCGACAGCTGGTGCCTTCTGCAGATTGCGACACTTCCACAACAACTCATACACTTCAATCCAGAGGGGCGGAAAAGCGACTGCCGAAACTCAGAAGAAAGGATCCTCAACTGACTTGAAATGTGTGCACACTTAGAAAGTCCATGTTCAGTAGATTGTTCCGTGTGTTGTCAAACCAAAGTGAAGCTAACTGCAAATGACCCCACCAAAAAAAACGAGCAGAATCAAACATGAACAGAACATAACAGAACCATCTGCAGAGTTTGGACAAAACGCCTGCGCCGACCTGTGCGGGGTCACCCCTCTTCTCAGACGCCCTGCGCGGCACGTCCGGCAAGAGCTCCCCCAGGACTTTTCATATGGATTCTCAATCACGGCCGCTCACCCTCCGCACGCCGAAAAACCCAGAAGTCTCGGCCTCAACGCTCGCACGACTCCACCGCCACCCGTGCTCGGCTCCGCCTCCAGCGTTCAGCGCTCAGCACGCCGAGCAGCGCTCGGAGGTCCACAGCCAACTGCGAGGAACGAGCGAAAGCGCACACGGCGGGGTGGGAGCGAAAGCCAGCCCCGGTGTCAACACGGTGGACCTGGATGGCCCCAAAAAATGAGACCACCTGCAGACTACACAATCACCCTTGAGGAAAAGCACAAATAAGGGTAACTGGCTTTTGTATTTTTGCTGTCCTCATGGAGGTCATCTAATTACTTTTGATCGAGTGTAAAACAGTACACGCACACCAAAAGGCACGGCCTGCGACGTTCCCGGGAAAGCTAAGTCGGGAAGCTGTGCCACCCTTCTGACCAAGCGAACAATGGATGACCAGCACAACTTCACAACTGTTTGTCTACCATGCACAACAACTTGGTGGTGCTTAACAAGTGTGTCCCATTTTTGATGTGCTTTGACCATCGGGGGTGCCAGGGAACACGTGAATCACGGAGAAAAAGAACGGAATATGGGCGTTCTGAGGCTAATGTGTTTACGTGTTACCATGAGTTACCTGTTGTTCTGCTCTTTCAGAGTATGCCTTGCCTATCCTAGCCTGGACTTCCATGTCAAAGCTCCCTCATCAACAACGAAAGCACCCTGGAGCCGCCCAGCAAGGCCCAGCCTGTTTCTCTGGCATCTCCAGGAACATTTGCACTGCCCGTCGCCACCTCAATGCTGCAGTGGGGCGCAGAGCCCACAGGGAGGCAGTGGCTATGGTCGTTCTTTGGAACTTGATGCCTTGAGATGGCTAATGGGACCCATTCGGGCACCATAACGGCGCTTCCAAGCGAAGTTTGGCGGATCAAATTGAAACATATGCTTGGATGTGCGAAAAACAGTCTATTGTACCAAAGCTCTGGTATTATATTATGACCGTATTCATATCTTTAGTGATGCATAGTAGTATGGAGTATTACTGCGATTCAACAAAGTTGAGTTGCCATTCATCAGGATATTTGCTTAAGTTTCATCCCGTTCGTAGTCTCAATCCCCAACAAATTCCCACCTCAAACACGCACACTCGTCCACACTCGGAATGTTGGCACGGGTTTCTTCTTAGAAATCCTGCTAGAACTCAAACATGTTTGCTGAATAACCGAATGTCGTTGGGTCATCTACACTGCTCCACCAAAGGTGTCCCATGTCGGATCGCTTCTTCGGGATCCGGTCGCTCGCGCCACCGAGTGCACCCAGTGGCCATCCCAGGGATCGGTGCTGGACAGGTCAGGAAACGTCTTTTGTAGTGCACCTTCTATTAATCGATGTTTGTGGATGTTTTTGGTTTGTTGCGGTACTTCTGCTGGATTCTTCATGCACACATGCGTGCACTCGCATGATACTGTAGATTTATTGGATGCTGCCTGCATTTTGTGGATGGCCAGGTGAACCGCCACGCCATCAATGCCTGCGACAGCGCTAAGAAGGAGCTGGAGAAAGCGTGTGTGAGCCTCTGAAACTGAAAAAACAAAAGAAGTAGGGGGCTCGACCGATGCGAAGCAAAACCAACTTTTGATAATAGAAGTGACTGCACATAGATATATACATGTTTGAACCGACTAAATCTCATCTTGAAATTATCATCTAGTCACTGCAGCAAGCAAACAGGCGTGTGATCACGCATAGTTACACTGTGGGGGCAACCCAATCGTGGTTGCATGGGTTCAGAGTATATAAGGGGGCCTGACCCAATGTTCACTTCCCTTGGCCCTTGACCCGGCGGCAACTGATGTCGGGTTTCGAGGTGCTCATAGCCGTGCTTCTGCACGTCGTAGGCGTGAACGACATGGCGCCATGGGCGGAAGCGTTTCTGCGTCGAATCACATTGGGTTTCACGTGATACATGGGTTTTGGATGCGTCTTGAAATACAGGGGCGAGAGCCCACGAACAAATGGGATCCTTTCGGATTCTTGCAACATGACCGAAAGAGGGTCTTGGATTCTGTAGAAACAGTGCGGCATCACAGGAGCAAGTCTTAACATCTCAACAACTTGCAAGCCTCTGTAGCTCGTGGAAAGCAATGCCCAGCAAAACTGCACACTTCAATTCTGTTTTGGTCTCCAAAGAATGCAATCAAACGCTGGATCGCATTCATAGCATCCTTTCCCGCAACGCCCCTGAATGATCTGCAAAGTGCCTGTTTGGACTAACAACTCGCTTCGACGCCTGATCAGAAATTATTCCTCGATCAAGCTTACCCGACCAGTCCACAACAGTCTTTATGCAGCAAAAGTTCAACAAATGTCCAAACAGTCTTTCCCAACTGTTCTCAAATTTGCCAAGTTCCCCTAGCCTGGCTGGAACTACTCAAAAAGTGACTAGCTAAATATTGAACCTGAGCAGAACCAGCCATGCTCAAAGTGAAGTGCAAGCACACAACCGTGCACGGCGCTGCACGAATTCAAGGGCGCCGAAGCCTGCCGTCTAACTTGATGCAGCAATGGCTCAATGGACCTTCGGCTCAAAGCTGGACAGAACGGTCTGACCAAGTGCGAAAACCACACGCTAAACAGCAACACCAGTCCTGTCTCAGTTGGACTATAGAGGTCCAACGGTCCGGTGAGCTGGCAGCCTTGCGGAGTCTTCATCTGGTGCACAGCTGAAGCAGATCGCTCTGCTCAGTGCCTCAAAACAGTCACCAGTATCCACAAGCACGCCACTTGACTATCTCATTTCTTTCCCCGGATAGCGAAGCTATAGGGGTTCTTACTTCTCAATGGATGGGTTCCTGGTTGCGGAAATTGGCTGCCGCTGCCGCTGCCACCTTGTTTCCCAAGCTTGTCTCCCTTCATGATTTCGCTTTGGGCTGCCGCTGCCGCCTTGTCTGTGAAGCTTGTCTCCCTTCATGATTTCGCTCTTGGCTGCCTCTGCCTTGTCTCCCAAGCTTGTCTCCCTTCATGATTTTGCTTTTGGCTGCCGCTGCCGCCTTGTCTCCCAAGCTTGTCTCCCTTC